TGGAGCTGATTTACTAAATACTTTCTTTCACCAGCTGGGGTTTATACAGCAGGATGTGATGTAACACGTCTGCAAGCCAAAAGTTGAGCTCTTTATTATTTTTTAAGATGTAAACATTTAAAATAAAGCGGTCTTCTGAATTCAGATCTTAAAGGAATGTGTCAGCTTTACCTGAACGACTTTTGGAAATCAGGTTTTATCGTTTTTGACCCAAGTGTGGAGACTTCAGTTGCACTTTGACTGGTAATTCTCCTCACTTTGTGAAATTAAATGTCATAAACCAGCTCCTTTTAAAATGTTGCGCTTGTTATTTTGTATGAACATTACCTCCTCTATGTGCCTCCTGTAACTAAAATATCTACCGTATTTTTCCCTGTATATGTCGCATCCTTTTGCATAAATTAGCATGCGACTTATACGCCGAAGCGACTCATTTATGTTTTTCCCCATATTTATAATCCAATTTTTATCTGAGATCTGGCGATTTCGTTCATTCCGACATGGAAAATATGGAACATTACCATTTTCAGCCTCTAGAGGGCATTTGACTAGTATGGCAAGCCAACTGTCTCATTAATAGGCTATTAATGAGACGCTTGGCTTGCCATACAAGGCCAGCTTCGTCTCACTCTGCATTTCACCGCGCCGCCCAGGAGAAGCGCAGCTGATTTGACTGTTAAAGTGCATTTATTAAGGAAAAGTTAAACTGAGACGCACCTTTACTATAATTTCGAGCAAACAAATAATTGTTTTTAAGTGTTAATCTTGTCGCATCCAATCGATTTTTGGCACAACACCAGCCCATGTTTCCGGGTTGTCATTGGTGATGCATAATAGATGCGACTTATACTGCGAAGCAACTTATTTATATTAGGACCGATGCAACTTATACAGCAGGAAGTACGGTAAATAAACCGTCTAGGTGTCCTGTCCATGATAGTAGTTTGTAAAGCGTCTAATTTAAAATGCAGTTTAGTTGTTTTATTTAATTTCCTCCATGTTTAAATCCTCTCCTGAGCAGCTGCCCTTAATCTGAGCAACTGTTGGAGAGATTAAACTGCAGACGGCTCACTGTTGCTCACAAACGCTGACTTTGAGGGATATTTTATGACTTTTATTTCGAAACAGATGAGTTGGGATGAAGAGTCTAGCCTTAATGAGATACTCAGTTCTGTGTGGTGATTAATTAGCAGCTTTTATTCGTGTTTAATCTGATTTTTGTCTTTATTTAGCGGGAAGATGAGCGGAACAAAGAGGTTCTTGTTAGCTACAGATGTGGGCGCAGTTGTTTGCATTTTATACACATCAAGGTCATGAGTCCAAACTTTTGCTTCTGCTTCTTGCTGTTTTATTTTAGTCTAATTTGTAATCAGAGCAAACATGAAACAATGTAAACTCCCACAGGTTTTTGTTGGTGTCCTTGAACTGAACTCACCCCAACATCTTTCCATCCTCCAGAGGAGAACGGAACAATAGTTAAAACATCTGCGCTCGTGTTTTTAAAAGCGAAGCCGTGACTCGTCGTCAGCTCGGCCCCCATGGGAGAAGTTTACCGGCTAATACGTGGACGTTGTTTGGAGAAAGAGGCTTTAAGCTTCTGCTTTTCAGTAATCTGATGACAACGGAGCATCCCGAGCAGCCAACTGCAGCCAGCAAATCCATCTTTTCAGGCTTTGGAGCGTTTTCACATCAAGTCTCGAGTCTGAACTGTTGCAGAGTCACCAAACGGCCTCGTGCTGGTGAGTTAGTACTGGAACTCGTCCATTTTCATACCAACGAAACGGATTTACCAGACTGACCAGCACCGAGACTGGCTGCTCTGTTTGAGACGGAGGAATTTAAACGGAGTTATTTTTTTACAGTTTTGGTTTCAGCTCCTGTCGGATGGAAAACATTCAGATTTTAGAAGGACTTTCTACTCAACTCAACTTTATTTTGGTAAATTAGCATTACAGAAAAAGGAAAACAATATAGACTACTTTTGACAAATCAATAATTTACCAAAAAAGGAATAGGCTGAAGCCAAGGCTTATACTTGCCTACCCTGTTCATAGACTCAGCAGTCTTCAATAATAAAATATATCTACTGTCCATATATATACATACATTACATATACACATATCTATATAAAAATATGTCTGTGTATATGTATAAGCATACTTACATTACATACATACATTGTTAAACACTACATATATACATCTACATAACAGTATAAGCTTTTATAATGTTACCTTTTAAGCTCAACAAAAAAGCACATAATTTGAGTTCATCATTCAATTCATTCCACAATTTCACACCGACAACTGAAATGCATCTAGATTTTACTTTACTTTTCTCTTTAGCTTGTTCAAATATTAATAAACCTCGTAAATTATAATTACTCTCCCTTAACTTAAATAATTTCTAAATTCCAGAAGGAAGACTTTTATTCACTGCTTTATACATTATTTCCAGTATTTTTATATTTACAATGTCATTAACTTTTAAGGTGTTACTTTGAATAAAAAGTGTATTAGTTGGTTCACAATATCCCACTTTATTAATAAGCCTAATTGCTTTTTTTTTGTAACTTTACTAATATGTCAATAGTTGTTTTATTAGCATTTCCCCATATTTCTGCACAGTATGACAAATAGGGCATAACCAAAGAAGAGTATATAATATGCAAGCCTTTTACATTTATTAAATCTTTTATTTTAAACAATATTCCAACAGTTTTTGAAACTTTATTTCTAATATATTCAATATGAGGCTTCCAACTAAGTTTGTTATCCAGAATGATACCTAAAAACTTTGTCTCATAAACTCTGTCGATTTCAACTCCATTTAGATGTAACTTTACATTATTGTAAATCCGATTACCAGAAAATACCATAAATTTTGTTTTTTGTCCATTTAATGATAACTTATTGTAATCAAACCACTTTTTTAACTCAGCTAGCTCTTTTTCTACTATTTGTATTAGTTCATCCATATTCTTTCCAGAAAGAAAAAAATTTGTATCATCAGCAAACATTATAAATGTCAAAATATTGGATACTGTAAAAATATCGTTCACATAAAGTATAAATAATTTAGGTCCTAGAACCGAGCCTTGAGGAAGACCACATTTTATAGTTTCAGTTTGTGACTTTGTATTGTTAATTTGTACATATTGTAATCTATCTTTGACGTTAATACCTGCAAAAAGTTTGATTTTATGGTATTTAGTGGGGAAAACAGTTGTGTCCAGTCTTACATAAGATGCAATTTACATTTACACAGAGTGTGCAAAAGTTTTAATCTGTCCCTAATTTATTTTGTTTTGTTTATTAACAGACTAATTAGATTTTTTGGTTTGTTTTTCCTGTTTGAAGTTCATTGCCTGTGTTCAGTTTTTGTTCCTCTGTGCTACTTTTCCACAGTTAGTCGCTGCTCCTCAGACTGGCCACGCCCACCTACGCCTGCTCCCTGTTTCCATTAGTCTGCAGTCATCTCCTTCATTTGCCTGGTTGTTCCCTCCGTTTGTCACAAACTCATCGGCTGAGCGTTATTGGTTTGCACATGTCCAGTCCTCCACGTGTTGCTTGTTCTCTTCTGTAAGTTTCGTCTCATGCGATCTAAAGCTCTTGTGTCAGTTTGAACCTCCTGCTAACCGTGACATAATTATTGCCTCCTGCTACATGCTGGGCGATGATCTTTGAGTGTTGGTTTGCCTGTACTGTTAGCAAAATCTGTGCGGTTTTGAATAAAACTCAAACACCTGATTTAACTCTGTCCTATTCAAGATGGCCGCCACAGCTAGCAAACACAAACACTGTCATGAATCTGCCAGTTTTCTAGATTTTGATATAAAGCTAGGTGTGGTCGTATAAGACGGATCCCCAGCTCATATAAGTGCTAGCTAATCATGCAAGATCTGGTTTTAAAACTTTGACAAAAGCTATTGACTTTTTTTAAATTTAAACCTTTATGTTACCAGGAAAGAAATCCATCAAGTCAACTTTGTTAGTAAAATAACTCATTTTTTGCAAGGACTTTTCCATAGTTAACCTCTGCTCCTCAGTCCTGCCACGCCCACTCACACCTGTTCCTTGTTTCATTTATCAACGTTTGAATGAGGTCTCTGTTGAAAACGAGTCCTTGTTTAAATAAAGGTTGAATAAAAAATAAAACGTTGCAGCCGCTCTACCATCAGCCCCAGTCCTACTGACAGCAACCCACTGGTGGAGCTTTATCCATGTTGCATCTCAATGTTCTCCCAGTGCCTCCCTATAGATTTTGCTGCCCATTAGTTTATTTTTTATAAAAGTTTAATTTAAATCTTGAGCTCCTTCAGTCTGCAGCCGGAGTCCACACACATTTACAACTAATGAACCCAACCAAGATGGAAGCCACATCATCTCTGGAGCTGAATCCCAAACTTGATGTTTCCAAAGATGAATTACTGAGAGTTTCATTAATGCTGCGTCATGATATTTTGCTAACAGACACAAGCAAGAGTCAAACTCCATTGGTTCCTATAATAAAGTTTATAATTAAATCCTTACGTTTGTTTATGTTTACTTTTATTAAATGGTCATTGAAGTTGATTGGATTAAAAAAGAGGAAACTGTTTTTTTGTTTGTTTGTTTTTAATAAACTTCGGGATTATTTTCAGATCAGATTTAATCCCGACCCACCCACAGGGATGTGGGATGTTTCTGTCTCTGCCCACATCTTGTGTCGGAGCCACACGCCGTCGTCACTTTCCTCCTCCTCCTCCAGCTCCGCGCGCACACTCGCGCGCGTCGGGAGCGCACGGGGTGTCAGTTGGCTCCAGCCCTCCTCGGCAGCGGTCGCTCCTGGGTTTCGTGCGCGCGGAGCAGGAATTTTGGGAGTGGAGATGCAGTTTTTTTCCTCCTGACGTTTGAGCTGCGCGCGGAGAGGAGCTGAAAGGAGGAGAGAGCAGGAGCTCCGGGCCTTTCTCCGACTTCCTCCTCCCCTGCTGCTTTCGTTTTGATCATTTTCTCTGAACAGGAGTTCTGTTGGTTCGGTCCATTTCCACTTGGAAGTATGTCAGCGGCTCCCGTGCGTCCGGAGTGACGTCTGGATCTGCCTCTGCTGGATTTCTTCTCAGATTGGGATTATTTTCCTCCAGGAGACTTGTTCTGGTTCCGAGGCTCCCAGGATGCCGGGGACTCTCCAACCTCCTCCTCTCTCACTCTGAGAGAACCCGTCTCTCCCCGCTGGACGTGAACTCCGCGCGCGTTTCTCCTTTTCTGTTCGCTCTGCTGTGCCACCTCCTAAGGATGCGTGGTGGATTGCTGCTGCTCCTCCTCACCCAGGTCACCTCGGTGTCCTGCTTGGCTCAGACCGGTACGTTTGGCGGATTATTGATCCGGTTGTGCATCGTGGGGGGGGGGGGGTTTGTGTGTGTGGACTCACCTGTTCAAGCTTCAGGAACGAGTTCAAGTTGGACCGAAATTCCGGTGGAAATGAAACGGAATCAACGAAAAGTGTTGACGGACAAAACCACGCAGCTAAAATGCTGCAGCTGATTGACGCAGAACGAGTGTTGCGTGAAGAGTTTCACGCGGTTTGGTCTGTTTTACTCGCTCACGGGCGCGTTTTTATTTTATTTTTTATTTTATTTTATTTATCCGTTTTGCGCTCGTCGCCACTGACGCGTGATCTCCAGGCAACAAATTCATAAATCATTCAGAAAAGACCATTAAATGCCACCATCCTGCCTGGGGAGGCAGGTGGCTGCAAAACAATCACCTTTCTCTGCGTAAAACTCCCCGAGGGGCGTTTTAGCGCAGATATTTGCGTACATTCAGACTTTAGTTGCGCTTTGGGTGTTTTTTTGCGCACAGATTAAAAAAAAAAAGTTCTGGATGGATAATTATTTAAAAACTGTCCCAAATCTTATTCGTTTTCTGCTTTTTGCAGATAAATGCGGGGGCCACATTGAGATCGAGGCCCCGGACTACTTGACCTCCCCGGATTACCCCAGCGCCTACCCCCCCTCGCAGCTCTGCAGGTGGGTGATCACCGCACCTGAAGCTGGCCAGAGGATCCTCATCAACTTCAACCCGCATTTTGATCTGGAGGACAGAGACTGCAAGTAAGACTCCTTCTCTTCCTCCCTCTCCTTCTCCTCCTGTCCCCCCATCCCTCCCCCCTCCTCGGTCCTGCCTGGAAACAGCGGCGCGTGCTGCCATCTAATGGTGAAGTCTGTTCTCAGGACGCAGAGCTGCTGGTCCGTTTCTGTGGAACTGGTTTTTATAATCCAGTCTTTGTGATCAGGGAGGCCGGCTCGTGCTGTTTGTCTCTGGTTGGTGGTTTTATGAGACAGAAGTCGACAAACTGTTTGCTGCAGCCTGATCGGTGGAGTTCAGTTTGTTTCATTTGCAGGAAGACTAACCTGAGGTGCTGCTGTTCTGTGGTTGTGGAGGAAGTTGACTGACCTGTTCATATTCTGTCTGCTTGTTGGAGTGCGTGCACGAGCCAGGCATGGACGTCTGACATTGTGATCACTTGTTTTGGATCGTCGTGCTCGTTCACGTTCGCAGGTTGGGTCAAACGAAACGTGCAGATGTTGACAGCATCTTAGCGTTTTACTCTATTTTCCAACACTTTGAGTCAAAAAATGGTTAAAGGGTTGGGCTGCTGTGTAAAACGAAAAAATAGTTTGTAAATTTGACATTTTATTTACGACGGAACGTGGAAAACATCAAATGTTCAAACGAAGAAATTGTGCCACTTTGTGAAAATAAACAAAGTAACTTTGAGTTTATAGGACTGAGTTGTTTTAAAAAAGTTAGAATTTGTCAGAAGTAAAGACGGGCAGAGGTTCATCGGTCTGCAGGTTCACATTGATGTTCCTCAACAGAAAACTGAGACGTTGAATATCTACAGCTCAAACGATCATCGCTGAAGAATCTGTAGACATCTCTGAGCTCAGAGGACGAGACTGAAGGTCCATTTTGGATGGTTCTGATCTTTGGGTCCTCAGGGGCCCGCTGCATTAGAAACGGGTCTGGTTCTGTTCTGGACGTCAGGAACACTTCCACAATAATTATCTGTAAACTCAGTTTGCAGTTCCTCATACAAACGCTGCTTAAAGCTTCATCAAGTGGAGACGAAGCCAAATGTGACACCACTTTAAAAAATGGACTCCAGGCATGTCAAAGTGGAGAACTGGTCTGTGGAGAACTGGTCTGTGGAGAACTGGTCTGTGATCTGATGGATTCAAATTCAAAACTCTTTAGAAACTTTGAATGCTACATTTACATTACTGAAGAGTTATCACTGCTTCTCTGATGGTATGGGGGTGCATTAATACCTCTTTGTGCAGAAAATTACACAGGTTTTAGAACGGGATCTGCTTCCATTCAACAACGACCCAGGAACATCTAGTCCTCCAGCGGGTCTCCTCAGGTCCTGGATGTTTAGAGGAGAAGGGATGCTTCACAGCTGAAAGCACGGACCTCTAACGTTCTTTAGATGTGTTGCTGCCAAAGAATTCACAATGACCTTGTTTCCAAAAACGGTCCAATTTTCTGTTTGTGACATTTGATGTTGTGGTCTACTCAACATAAAATATGTTCTGGAAATTAAGAAATTATTTTATTCTGTTTTGTTGTGTGAATGTTTATGATTCACACTGTTGTGATCCATTTCTCTTCCGTACATTTTTCAGCATCTTTCTCGTTCCACAATTTTTGTGCTATTTCAACAAATCATAAATCAAAACGTTCAGCTCGTTCATGACAGTCCTGCTATGGCTTCTGGTATTGGTGCAGCTTTGGCTTTGTGAAATATTTAGCCTTTTCTGCCATTTTTCCTCATAGAAAATGAATCTAGCTCATTTTACATCCTTCAAATCTTTAGCTCAGTTTACAACCTTTTACTGCTCCTTTCACATTTTGTTCTGCTTCAGGTTCTTTCAGCTTTTTTTTTGTGCAAATATGCACTTTATTTCAGCTACTTTCTGTAATTTCAGCAGTTTTTTTCAGCTGTTTTGTGCTCCTTTCTGCTTTATTTTGCTAACTACAACATTTTTGTGTTTCTTTAACTTCTTTCTGCTAATTTCAGCTTGTTATTTTCCTTTTAGCTGATTTCTGCAAGTTTCAACTATTTCTGCTATTTCAGCTACTGTTTAGCTGTTTCATGATTATTTGAGCTTTTTCCTCTAATTCCACATTTGTTGCACTCATTTAAACATTTTTCAGCCTAATTCAGCAAATATATGCGCTGTCCAGTTCCATCTGGTAGTTTAAACTTCTTTGCATTTTCAGCTACTTTTCAGCTTTTTGTTTCTTATTTCAGCTTTTTAACCTAATTTACTAATTTTTGTGCTAAATTCTGCTTATTTAAACCAAAATCAGCAAATGTGTATTCTTTCTGCTTTCTTCTGCTAACTTAGGCTTGTTCTTCCATTTCAGCTACATTTCAGCATGTTTTTTTTAGCTAATTTCAGCTGTTTTGTGCCCCTTTCTGCTTTATTCTGCTAACTACAACATTTTTGTGCTTCTTTAACTTCTTTCTGCTAATTTCAGTTCATTATTTTCCTTTTAGCTGATTTCTGCAAGTTTCAACTATTTCAGCTATTGCCACATTTGTTGCACTCGTTAAACGTTTTTCAGCCTGATTCAGCAAATATATGCTCTGCCCGGTTCCATCTGATAGTTTAAACTTCTTTCTGCGTTTTCAGCTACTTTTCAGACATTTTTTTTTTTCTTATTTCAGCTTTTTTTTAGCTACTTTACTATTTTTGTGCTCTTTTCTGCTTATTTAAACCAAAATCAGCAAATATGTATTCTTTCTGCTTTCTTCTGCTAACTTAGGCTTGTTTTTCCATTTCAGCTACCTTTCAGCATGTTTTGAGCTAATATCAGCTGTTTTGTGCCCCTTTCTGTTGTATTCAGTTAACTACAACATTTTTGTGTTTCTTCTAACGTCTTTCTGCTAATTTCAGCTCATTATGCGTCTTTCAGCTGATTTCTACATTTCAACTATTTCTGCTATTTCCGCTACTATTTAGCTGTTTTATGCTAATTTGGGCTTTTTCAGCTATTTCCACATTTGTTGCGCTCATTTAAACATTTTTCAACCCAATTCAGCAAATATATGCTCTGTCCACTTCCTTCTGGTAGTTTAAAATTATTTCTGCATTTTCAGCTATTTTTTTTTTTTCTGATTTCATCTTTTTTAGCTACCATAATTACAATTTTTTTGTGCTCTTTTCTGCTTATTTAAACCAAAATCACCAAATATGTTTTCTTTCTTCTGCTAACTTAGGCTTGTTTTTCCATTTCCTCTACATTTCAGCAAGTTCTTTAGCTAATTTCAGCTGTTTTTCAGCCAGTTCTTCTGAAATAAGCATTCACTCAGTTTCTCTAGTTTACATTTAACTCACCGATCCAACTGGTTTAGAACTGGCCTTGGTCTTTGTTGGCTACTACCATCCATGCACGGCTCGGCTGCAGCTGCATGTGTGTAAAACTACCCCCCCCCCCCCCCCCATTACATGGAAACACTCCTCTGGATTGTGTGCATCCTTACATCACCGCCCATGTGCTTTTTTACGGCGCCTCCTTTCTCCTTTTTAAAAGCTTCATAAACTGCTTGTGTGTAAATCACTGCTGGCTGTCCAGCTCTGCCTCGCAGATCGGGGGGCTTTGGGGGGGCGGGGGGTGCTTCCAATACTATTGGATCATGTTTCACCACCAAGGGACTAATAAACCATTAGTGCTCAGGACAGATAGTGGATATCGTGTGTCTTTTTAGTGGATTATTCGCGTGCACGTGCTGGAAAGCTGCTGATTCTGGAGCGACCTTGTTTTGGGAGCGGTGTAAATGCTGGATAGGTGTTTAATGAAACGTAATACATCCTGGCGAGGAAGGTCTAGGTGTTGTTGTTTGTCTAAACGACTTCTGCAAAGGTCAGTCTGCTGTAGTCGAGTGAAATATTACAACTTTTGTCGGAGAAGATCATGAGCTAATTGTTTTAGTATCGAAAGGCCTGAAACATTTCTGTGGAGCTTTTTTTAAATTATAGTTCTGTTTGCTTCGTCTGCACCAAACCCATTTACTTCCTTGCAGTGCGGAGTGGCAGTATTTCCACTTTAAGGCCGCCGCAGGAATCAAAGCTGCGGCCGTTAAACCGCCTGACCACCCGGCAGCCACCTCAACAAGTCGTTTGGCTGCAGCCTCGGGGGGGGCCTCGCTTTGCTCGATGGCTTTCATTATTTGTTGTGCGAGTTTGTGTTGGACGCCGACGGGGTGTAGCTCGTAGCTCTCAGACTTGGCAGGAGCCGTGTTGTTTTTGGGAGCGAGTCAAACGTTGGAAATCCACCCGTCCAGGGAGGCTCCGAGCCTTTTGGCGAGACCGCGGTCCCACTTTCAAAGTTCCCGAGATTATTTCGGGGAGCTGGTGCTGACGGACGATTCAGCATCAGCTTCAAGAACTGAACCTCCGTCAGCTGCAGGTTTGACCCTGAAGCACCCTGGAAAATGAAAACAGGAACATTTGACCTTTTCTGTTTGTTTGATTACATTTATTGGAGCACAGTCCTCGACATGAAGTCCATCGCAGCCGGATGTCATCAGAGTAGTTTCCAGTTTCTCACACAAAGTGTCACTTTTATCTTTCCTGGACTTGTTTTAATCTTCGCATTCTGACTGTCAGAAACGACTCTTCAAGATGAACTGTTACATTAAAGTGTAAAAACAAAAACTGTCATTAAAAAAAAACTATAACTCAGTCAAGTTATGTGGCTAAACTTCAATCAATCTGACAAATATTGAGATGAAGTTTGACGTGGTTATTGACAACAAATACTGTATTTTCCGGCGTATAAGTCGCAATTATTTTGCAAAGATTTGTCCTTCCTGCGACTTATACGCTAAAGTGACTTACATATGTTTTTTATCAATATAACGCAATTTTTAACAAACACTTTAAATTTCTAAGAATTGCAACAGCGAGTCCTCCTGTGTGCACTTGATTCACTCAGCTGGTGCATGCGAAGGAACGCTGGAGAGCTAGTGGCTCTGGCTGCGATGGATGGATGGATGGATGGATGGATGGCTGGCTGGCTGGCTGACAATACAACAATA